TGGCTTTCAAGTTGACCTAGCATGGGGTTGTCTTCCTTTTTTCCTAAATTTAATTTGAAGGCTGGAGTTGCAGCCAAATCCCTTTTCTTTTGAATCTAGACACAGGGTTTGCTTGTACACGAAAGTGGATCATTTTGTTTTGCAATTGTGTTCTGAAGATCAAACAAATTCGCTGACAGATGTCTACATGCTCCATCTGCTCCACTAAAGCAGTTACAAAAACCTGATTAAACTTCTCCATACATTTTTAGGATAATCCATCCTTCGTAATATGGTTTACCATTCCATGTCTTCTTCCTTTCTGTTGGACACACCTAAATAGATGGACCAGTTAGGCTGTGGAATGGTTCAAAATAGAGAGCTTCATTTATAGCAACCTAGCTATATTATTTATGATACACTACAATTCAGACAACAATAGCTTTAAATCACTTGCAATCATTTTATCTTAACCTAGAAGCTTACACACCGTTGATTTTGTGCCGGGTTCAAATTTTTTCAATAGTTTGGAAATTTCCAGATCAATATTAAATGTCTCTTTTTTTTCTTTAGCTACTTAGATTTTCAACATTTCAGAGCTGAAAAATAGTAATCTGTTCGGGCTGATCAGCATTTAATATCAGCTTTTGTTGTAAACCTTGTAAGTTGTTTAAGCTACATTAAATAATCATTTACGCTATAAACTGTCTGAGCTAACCTGAAATCTAACAGAGCTATAGTTAAAATCTTTTAAGATCACTTGCTGGAGATTCACGACGTGACCTGCCTGGTAAAGTTTATAGCCCTGTAAGCCTTTGTAGGCTTTTAATCCATCGTGATCGTAGACTGGCTTCATAATCATATAGTTGTACAAATCTGCGTACGTAGACGTTGGAGCATTTCAAAAATCCTTCGACCATCCCTGTTTGATCGACGATACCAGCGACAGACGGCCCTGATCTGGCATATCGTGTTTAGACAGAATAAGCTTTGACGTATCTTCGCTGTCCGCAGAAATTTCTTGCAGTCGTAATTTCCAGGTTTGGAATGCGAGATTTGAGAGTTGCTCCTTGTTGTACGCTTTGCCCAGACCACTTGTTTGGACGCCATGTAGCACTAAATATTTTATTAAAACGACTCCTTTCTGCCGGCTAAAGTAATTCCTATCGATTTCCTTGGACGATTTTTCTTCGAAATTTCGCATAAAAATGTCAAAGCCATCGTCAGAAGCAGTATCGGGAGTCTGTAAAGAAGAACACGAGGCCGCCATGTTTTTCTAGCCCGACTTTGCCTCGACTTCGCGTTCGTCTGCAGTATTGTATTCAGCGGTGTTTCAAACCGCGAAAAGAGCTATTCCACGAATCACTGTACTTGCACTACAGCAGTGGCTCATTATGACAAGCATTTTTTTGGGCCTCTTGAGACGCTGAAGAAACACTTGTAACTCATCCACCTTCCTTCCTCGTGATCGAAACTCGCTAATATTTGACATCGTTCACTGTGCCGGGTTAGTAAAATGAATATTTGAATGATGAATATTTTCGAGGATTTTTTTTATCAAATGTAGGTGAAAGGTAGCATGCTTGATCTGAAGCTGCTACGAGGCCACCAGAAAGAAGACAACATGATAACAGCAGCAGCAGGAGAACCAGTGTGTAGGTTTGTTAATGTACAGCTGTGTGGAGGAGCTGCAGACCTCAAAGGAACTGTTCTTCTTGAGAATCCTCAGGGGACTTCAGTTATTACACTTGATCAACTTAAACGACAGGTACTCAGTGTTCCATTCACAAGTTCAGTCGTAAAACCATTTCAAGCTATTTTTTATATGTGCGCCTAGAATTTACGCGAATAATCAGTCCCGTCAGTCAAAATAACGAAATTCTCCATCAGTGCACATGAATTACATGAAAATTGATTAATTTCAATTCGCAATAATTTCGGTTGACGCATGTTCATTCAAAAAAGCTTTAAAACATGCAGGAATGTTTTGTTTTACAATCTTAAGTTTTCGGAGTAAAAACAAAAAACACAGTTGACAAGTTCTACCTTCATTATTCTGGACGTCGCGCAACCTAGGAGGCGAATATAAATCCGGATCTAGTAATTGTGATATTAAACAGTGTTGCCAAGAGAATCTCGATGAACGCAACGTTCATCCAGCTGAGTGAAAAAGAATTAAGACAGAATCCACCAGACGTTCGAGTAACAAGTGGACAAAAACCTAGTACCAAGATTATTTACATCGTATTGCAAACTTCTTTACGACTGTTTCAAATATCTTCTCAAAAAACAAATCATTTCTAGCAACACCAAACGTCGAAGACGAATGTTGAACTTCGTATGAAACACTTGAAAGTACTGGTGAAATGAAACTGATGATGAAATTTTGCCTGTGTTTGCACAAGTTCTCTGAACTTTGAAACTTATTTTCTCTCGTTCCCATGGGAAATTGTTTTCGGTGTTATTTCAGGCAATTATTTATGTATTTAGCTTTAAGAAAACGTAAAAATGACTGTAAAATACTCAAAATATTCTAGTACCAGCTTTTTGTCCGCTAAAACCTGAAATTTCTCGATTTTCTATCGGATTTCGTCTTAAGCCTGTACCGTTCGCGCGGCTTAGTTCGTTAATTTAAAACTTGTCTTTTCCAAGTTGACGTTCTCTTTTGCACTGTTGGTGCGCGCTCTAGTGCTGCTTTACTTTAGTGCTAATTTTATATATTGTCTGTATGTGTTTGAAACAGGTAGCCATGATGTTTGATCAACAGGAGAGCATGTTAAAACTGTCTGTGTCAGCAACGTGTGACTCAGGTCAGCCTAGGATTAAGTCTAACTTTATACAAACTATGCATACCTACTTTCTTGGCACATACCATTCTCAGTTTTGTCCACGGACCATTCTTTCTATCCATACAAGTTATTGAACTGACAAATTGACACCTCTTTCTTTTATTTTTTTTTTCTTGCAGTTCTCACCGCCCAAGACTTGTCCAAGTTACACGGCTGTCAGTTGTACGCTTTCGTTAAGAGCTAACGTCTCAAAACCTGTTGGCAATGTGGCTGCTTAATTAATTAAACAGCCGTTGTGCATTTAGGCAGCATCCACACCACGCCGGAGTGATTTGAAAACGCAGCTTTATTTCTGTGGTTAGGCCTACCGTCCACACTAATCCGTCACGAAAACGGAGCTTTTCGAAAACGCTCTTCAAACCGGAGGAATTTGAAAACGCCGGCTTTTCGTTTTCGTGTGGACAGAAAACATTTTGAAAACGTAGCTTTTCGAAAACGATGGCGTCACGATAATCATGTGATTTCCTCGCCCAAGTTTTCCTCAAACACAAATTCCAAATGACCGGTGATTGTTGCGTTTTTTAATTCCTCCGGGATAGTGTGGACGGGGCTTAGTGGTAGCTCAACACAAGCTATCGGTTTCTGCACTTTAGTATTTACCTAACAGTAATTTCGGGATAGTAGGATGTGGGCGCCTCAGTTTATTAAACTTGCTATAAAGATCTTTGTGAAGCTCAACTGAAGTCTTTTCACATTCCGTCAGTTGGCCTACTAAGTTATATGACCTATTTATGCCGTTCACTTCGCGGAATAATTTGTGGTACTGACGCAATATGCAGGTCCTGTTCTTTAGGGATCTTATCTTTTAGTTCTTTCACTCGCGGTCTTTCACAAGTACGCATCCTATGGGACTGGCGGTAACGGAAGTAATAAACAGCTAAACAAGCTGTTTGATCGACCATCTTTCTCGGGTGGCGATAGATAACGATATGCTTGTGAATGACACTTATTTGCTTCAAACTTGATTAAAATTAGCCCCAAATACATTGATACTGAACGAATTTTGAATGTTGTACGACAAACGTGTTGAACTTTGAATTTTTGGCGTTATTTTGGACAAAATGTTTTAATCTCGAGGAGAACATAACATCAATTTGTTGACAAGTCCTTCGCTCATGGTCGCTTTAATTGAGCTCTTGTCAAGTCTTAAGAAGTCAAAATATCTCACCTTTTTCAAAGAGGCTATCTTTAAAACGAGGAATCGGGAAATCGGGGAATGGGAGTGGGCAACGGGCAACGGTGAATCTTTAAAATGGGGAATCTTTTAAAGCGGGAATCTTTAAAATGGGGAATCTTTAAAAGCGGGAATCT